CACAGTGCATCCTTTGGCGTGCGCCCAGGTGCAAGACCCACGAATGCGACACGTGCACACGGGTGCCACAGGCAGATGCCCCCGTCCCAGGGCCTCAGCCCTCTCCTGGCGGACACCCGCGGGTGGGGCTGCCTTGCCACTGCTGCAGGATGCGCGGAACGGGCCTCAAAACCCTCTCCGGAGTCCCCACTCGCGGCTGCCCTGGGAAGAGGCACCCCGCTGCGCCGTCCCGGGTGCAGAACTTCGTTAATTAGCCGTGGCGCAAGGAGAGTGGCGTTCCGTTCAGAGAAGCAGGGCTCTCGCGGCCCGGAAGGCAGCGCCCGCCTTCGCAGCTCTGGCTCTCGACCCGCTCAATCCCCGACAGCTTGCAGCCATTTAAAATCTCGCTGAGTAAATAAACCTGCCTGAGGCTGGCTGCCCTCCAGGGAAAGCAGGGGAGGGAGCCGGAGTGCCCCCGCGTTGCCCTGGGGCTCTGGTGGCCGCCAGCCCCACCACTGGCTGCCCCTCAGGCAGCTCCCCAAATGCAGCCACGATCCTCGGCAAAGGCGCCGTCTGAGTTGAGACGCGGTGGTGGGGAGGGCCAGCCATGCATCGGCCTGGGGAGGGGGGCCGCTCGATCGCAACACTTCCTCCCCCTCACGCCCCGCTTTTCTTCTAAGCAACTCCGGCGAGCAGGCCTCACGTCCTGCACCCCACTTTGCCTGCGCGCCAGCCCTGCCTGGGGGGTTGGGCTGGGGGCAGTGGCTCGCCACAAGCCCCCGTGGGCTTCCTGGCTCCCAGGGAGACGGGAGCCCGGCTCTCCCCAGCGCCGGCTCGGTGCTCCGTCCGATCCGCGGCATGAGATGCCGGTGCACCGGGCCGCCACTCCCCAGCCACTGGCCGCTCTGGGCTTGCAGCTCTCCGGGGGGGGGGGGGGCAGCAGGCCGCAGGAGCACGCGAGTCAGAGTAGCTGGCAGCAGCTCACAGAGACCGTGGCAGGACAGGGTGGTCACCCAGCATGGACGGTCAAGCCCAGGAGGAGCCGCTGGAAAGGAATCCCCAAGCCCCCTGCCCTCCTCCCCACCCGCCTGGGGATCCTGGGTGGGTGGGCAAGGCAGCACCCCCTTGTGGCAGTCACAGGAACCACCGCAGGGGCATCGGATGGGAATGTGGAAGCTGCGGTCAACACCCAGCAGCACTCTCTCAGCCTCAACTCCCCTCTGTGAAATGGAGCCAACCGTGCCCGACCCGAGTGAAGGCCTGTCAGATGCGAGAAGCTCGCAAGGCAAGCTGCAGTTGGAAAGTGCTCTGGTGTGGCTTGGCTCATTTACTGGAGCCCTCTGCAGATGTATCGCTTTACTTGCTCTGTGGGATGAGGACGACGCGGTCCTGGACGAAGGGGCCGGACCTGGTGAGCTTGTGGTGCCCTTCGCCTGGAGCCCTCGACAGGGGCAGACAAGCTGCGGCCCCTCAGCCACATTGGAGCACAACTCCCATCACGGTTGAGGAGTGTGGGTCCCGCATCCACCCCTTGCGGGATCTGGCAGTGCCACCTTGCCGTCCTCGCTCGAAGGACGGGGACATGGCGTGCTGCCAGACACGTGGGCCGCCCGCGAGCCAAGGTGGCCGGCCTTCCGATAAGCCGTGGGCCACAAAGGGGAAGCTCGCGCTGCTTCCAAGATGATCTGTGCGCAGGGACGGAGCCGGCTGAGTCACCGCTCGCTCGGCCTCTCATTCACGCATTGATTCATTCATGCTTCATCTTCATCCGAGAGGCTGGAGGAGCCCAGGGCTGCTTCCCCCGCCGGCCCGCCCCCCGCTCCGGCTGCCAGCACCAGATCTGCCTGCAGCGGAGGGAAGGTTGCTCTGGGCTCCCAGCTCTCCAGCCCCACCCCGGACTTTCCCATGAGCAGGAGGCGCTGGCAGGCTGCGAGGCCATCTCCAAGCGGAGCCACGGCGAGACAGGCCACCTCCCCGAGCCTCGGCTAGCCTAGAGGCCTCTTAGCAGCCCCCCCACACTCCGAGTGGCCCGCCAGCTCGAGCTCCCCACCCAACCCGCCACCCTCTCTCCTTCCTGTCCATCAAATCACACCGCTTGCTGGCTCGTTCTGTGACCACATGGCCACATGCTGCCCCACAGCCAGGGCCCCCGACATCTCCCCAGAGGGTGCCCAGGCTGGAGCCCATGGCCGGCCGGCAGGAAGGCAGGCAAGCAGCATCCCCCACAGCAAGCCCCAGGCGGCTGCTGGCGGGCAGGGAAGCCAGCCGGGCTGCATTTGCCCCCGACCCTCAGAAGCTGCTCGAGGCACACGTGCACCCGCCCGCTGTGATTCACACCGGCGTTCCCGCTCAGGCCCGGAGGGAACACAGGCAGCCTTCTGGCCGGGAGCTGGGGAAGCTTTCGGCTCACGGCTAATCGGTGAGACAGCCGAGCGAGCAAGCGCACGAGGGAAAAACTGCGCCCCGAGCCAAGAACCAGAGCTGGAGAGCTGGAAACTTCACACTTCCGTGAGCGAGTTTGGCTGGTTCTAACAAAGGCATTGCTCAACTACGGACTGGCAACATGCCTAGGAAATTCCCTCTGGGAGCCGGGAATGGGCTGCAAGGGCCGTGGGGCGGCTCATGCCACCCCCACAGCAACCCAGCAAAGCAAGACCTTTGCCCCCCCCCAGATGTCTGATGCTTGATGACTGTGAGAAGGAAAGGTCACAAGTCCGCCGGACAGCCTGCTCAAGAAGGAGCGGGGCCCTGCCCGCCTTCAAGGGAGGCCGAAGCACATCGTGAGCGGAGAAGTTATTGAGAGCAAATCTTGGACAGTGCTTCTAGGGCCCTGTGCTGACCTTCCCCAAGCCAGTGCCCTCCAGATGAGCTGGACGCTGACACATGAAGTCCGCAGCGTTTCCCCTTCTGTGCAGCAGGGAGAGATCCGTCCAGGGCTTCGTGGCTTGGCCACCCCGAACACAACACTGAGCAGAGTGAGTCCCCGGACTTCCCATGCTGAGGATGAAGGAAAACTGGGCCCTGAAGGAGCGTTCCTGCGCGGAGCCCGGCCGGGGGCAACGGAATTTCCCAGACCCAAGTGGGTCCTTGGGCGCTGGACCTGAAGGAGGACCATCTACCCCCACGCGGCTGCTCCTGCCCTGCACAGCCGGCACTGCTGAAATTCATTTCAGGCAGCTGATAAACATCGTGTTCTCCCTCGCTCTGCAAATCTCTTACAGGAGAGCCGCTTGTAAACATCCCCCGTGCAGCGGAGAGGCAGCGGGCTGCAGGAAGCAAACAAGCAAAGCCGCCCTCGCCAGGCCCAAACGCCCCTGCCGCTCTCCAGGCACCCTCCCCTCGCAGGCCGAGGAAGGCCGTGCGCAGCCCTGCCGCTCGAAGGCCAGAGACTGGGGGCAGGGCGGGGGAGGCCTTCTGAATCGCCCTCACCCCGCAACCCCACAAGTGCACGGGGCACTCAAAGCTTGCAGCCTGGAACACGACGGAACGGAAGGGAAGGGATCGGACAGACGCTGTTGCCCCCATGGGAGCCCACCAGCATCCCAGGCGCCTGCTTGTGAGCCCTGCCCTGACGCAGCAGCTTGTCACACGGATGCCTCGCTCCTTCCTGCTTCCAGGGCCGTTCCAGCGGAGCGCCTCTTGCAGGAGCATCCCGCACGCTCCGAGTGTGCGAAGCAGCACTGCTTTGGAGGCAAGCGGCCCTGCTGAGGCCTGGGCTGTCTGTGGCCCTGCTGCAGCCACTGCTCGGGAAGAGGCTGGGCAGGTGGGCGATGGACAAGCGAGCCCCCCCCCCCCAGCCACGAGGGCCGCACACTCAGAAGGCACCGCCTGGCTTGCCCGGGGCGGATCGCGGGGTCTTCCATCCACGTGCCCAGCAGAGCTCTGCCGGTGCGCATGCTTTGACGGAGAGAGCGAGAGAATCTAAATATCCGTGCCCACAAAGTTTACCTTCCCATCACAGGAGCAACTGACAGGCATCCCCCAGTTCCAGGAGGCAGCGCGAGCGGGAGGGGAAGGAATGCTTGAAATGTGCAGCTGCTCGCCACCCCCCCCATCGCACCAAGGCCCCATCACTGGCTGGCTGAGCCAAGGGGGCCCCGCCCCGCCCCTCCCCCTCCCCCCCCCCCCCCCCGCCTGCCTGGCACTTTACGGGCAGCAAGCTGCCTGCCTCTCTCTGGCAATAAAAGTTGCCTCTGCAGCTGCGGAGCCGGAGGGGGCGGAGAGGCGCGGGAGCGATGGCGGCTTGATCGCCAAGGGCGGCCGCGGCGCAGGGCCGGGCCGGGCTTGCGGCGCCCTGGGCCCTCTGGGTGCGGGAGGGCGAGCGGGGGCGAGCCCCCCATGTGCTGCCGCAGGAGGGACCGGGGCTCCCCCCCCCCGCGACGGCCAGCCCGGAGGAGCTGCTTTGATTAGCAGCGTCTGGCTGGCTGGCTGGCGCTCCAGCCCGTGAAAGGCAACGCCAGGCAAACGAGCCCGCGCTCCGCTCAGCTCCACGCCGGCCAGGCCGCCGCGCCGGACTGCAGAGCGGCTGGAGGGCTGGGCTGGCGCCCGGGGCCCAGTCCCGCTCGGCCGCCAAGCCCCCCGGCTGACTCGGGAGCGGGCGCGGAGTCTCAGCCTGGCCTACCTCGCCAGGTTGCTGGGAAGATGCGAGCTCTGCCACCTTGAGCTTCTTGAGCGAGGGGAGCGAGCAAGATGCAAATGTACACGAAAAGTTGCCATTTTCCCGCACCCCAAAAGCCCAGGCGACACGACTCGGAAAAGACGGGGGGCGACGCTTCCCCGGCGAAAAGAAGGGGGCTGGCGGTCCCAGGCGCTCGAGGGGGAAAGGGAAGGCGAGAGCTGGTCTGGGGAGGGGGCCCCTCGGAAAGGCAGCCGCTCCACAGGGGCAGGGCTTCTTTCGGGTCGCGCCGCTGCAGCTGGCGCACGGTAGAGGGGCCCGAAAGGCCGGCGTGCCCGGGGCTGCCGGCGCGGCGCGTTCCGCGGAGGCTCCGGCGCGCGCCCCTCCCCGCCCGTCGGGCTCTTACCTCCTCCGCGGGCTCCGGGGCGGGAGCTGCCGCGGCAGCCCGAGCGCGCGGGCGGCGCGTCCCGGTCCCGCGCTCGCCGCCTCCGCCGCCTCGCCTGGCCGCTGCGTCCCGGCGGTGCCGGACGGGCACCCAGCCGCTCCGCTCCGCTCGCTCTCGGCCGCCCGCCCGCCCGCCGCGCGTACACGACGCTCTTGCCGCCGGCAATCCGAGCCGCGGGGCCGTTCCCGGCCGGGGGAGAGGCCGGGGCCGGGCCGGCCGAGGGAGGCGGGGAAGGGCCGGCCGCGCCGCCGCCGCCGCCCTCCAGGCGCGACCTTCCCTCGCCCTGCCCGGCCGGGCGCGGGGCCAGGCGGCACCCGCGGTACGGCGCGGCGCATGTTCGGCCGGGCGCGGAGCGCGATCCTCCGCGCGCGGCGACTCCCGCGTGCTCGGGGACCTTCCCACGCACCCTGACGCGGAGGGAGCTCCGGCGAACGGGCCACGGGAGAGGCTTACAGCCGAGGAAACTGCCCAGACGCCGCTGCCAACGCGGACTGAGCCGGCCAAGCGAGGCCGTTCGGCCCGCGGCTCTGGACAGGACACGCGTGCGAAGTCTCGTCTGAAGGGGCGCGGGGGCGCTCCTGGAAACGGGACATGGAGGGCGATTCTAGCCAAAGAGGGAAGCCGGGCGGCGGCTCGCTGGACCCTCGCCCTTTCTATGCCCGCCAGCCTGTGAGGACGCCTTGCGGCTACAAGACCCTCCCACGCGACCCCCAGCCGGGCTCCTGGGCAAGCCCCGGCGGCAGCGAGGGCGTCTGGGCACCGGCCGGACTCCCCGAGGGCCAGGTGCAGTCCCCATGGCTCTGGGGCAGATGCTTCCTTTTTTACAACCAGGCGTGTGCAGGAGAACTTCCTGGAGACCCCCCCCCCCGCGCACACACCCACCGCCTTGCGGTCCCCAGCCCCAAGAGTGGAGAAGAACCTGTGGCCGGAGCGTGCACCCAGTCCAGCCCCCAAGCAGGACAGGCGTGAGGCCGCCCCTTCCTGCCCACGCCCCCCCAGCGACGGGTGTCCCGAGGCCCCCGCGGTTCCTCCATGAGGAGCTCTGGGCACCCGCGGGGCAGCAGCCCCTGCTTTTCTGCCAGCCCCTTAAAGCGTGGCTCCTCAGACGAGGGCCTGCGGCCGGATCCGGCCCTCCGTGCCCGTTGACCTGGCCGCCGTGGAGGTTTTGGACTCGTGCGTGCGTGCGCTTGGCGAGGCAAAGGATCTCCTTGCGAGCAAGACGCCGTCTCCCCATGTGGCGGCTTGCTCGTAAGGAGACCGTTTTGGACTCGCTCGGGGAAAGCGACCTCCGTGGGTGCCCACCCCTGCCTTGCCACACACACGCCCCCCCCATCCCAGCCCGGCCTGCTCCCCCCGCCCACACCGCCTGGGTGGCCAGTGCCCCTTGCCAGCACCTTTCAATTGGCCCCCTGTTCAAAAAGTTTGAGGACCCCTGCCTGAGAGCCTCCGAGGCCCTGACCCTGCGCCCCCTCATCTGGGCGGCCGCAGGGCCCGAGCGCTGGCGGGACGTGCCGGGGCCTCCCCAGGCCTTCTGCCTGAGCTGCAAAGGCTTTTCCAGTGCCGGTTCGTGGTCGGAAGGGGGGTGTGGATCAGCCACGAAGCCCTGCTGCCTCTTGGCAGAAGAGGCCCAAGACCACGACAGAGGGCAGGATTGTGCCTGGCATGGCGACGGGGGGGGCGCTTTTCTCCCTTCCTGCAAGAACTAGGGGGTCGCCCCGTGGAGCCGGCTGTGGGGCCGATCAGAGGAGGGCCCTCTGCACGGCGCAGAATCTACTCCCAGGAGGGAACACGCAGGTTCCCGGAGAAGGTCCTCGTGGCTGCGGATCCCAGCCACGGATTTGCTTCCTCCCGAGTGCAAGCGGGTGCAGCAGCTGCTGGGGAGCATGGGTTGCGGGTGCAGCTGTGCTCCTCTTGTGCTTGGGGAGCCACTGAGCAGCCGGCCTGGCATTCATATGAGAGCCCTTGGCCGGCGCGCTGAGGGGTCTTTCCCGAGCACCATCCCGCTGGGATCCCAGGCCCAGGGGCTGTGCCGCGGCAAGCACTGCAGAAGAGCGGGGCAGGGGCCGCGCAGGGCCTGCCCTCTCCCAGGACCTTCCCGTAACAGGGCCGGTTCCCCAGAAGGGTGGGGGAGTCACCGGGTTGCACATTCGGATATTTTACCCGCTAATGATTTGTGGGGAATTGACTTACTGCTTCTGCAGGTTCTTGGAAGCTATAAATAGCCTCGCTCCGCCTGTGGAAACTCGTGTCCGGCTTGTTGAATTTTCCATGGGGGAAGCGACTGGTGCCAGCTCCACCTCCACGGCCGGAGCCCAGGGCCGAGCACTGAGGAAGGCTTTCTCCGGCGGTGCCTGGCAGAGCTGTGCTTCCCGGGGCAATCTCGGCATGCCAGGGCCCTGCTTTGCACGAGGAAGGCCCGGATTCCACCCCCGGCATTCGGGGCGGGGGGGGGGGGCAGGAAGGCCTCCTGCTGAACCTGCTGGGTGGTGGTGATGTGGGAAGGCTGCCTTTCCTGCCAGGGTGCTGGGGAAGACCCCCTCCCCTGCTAGCCCCATCCCTTGTGGGGCATTCGGACGCCACGCTGGCTGCCCCGGCATCTGCTCGTAGAAGGCGCCCCCGGGCGGTGGGTCACTTCTGGGGCAGGCAGCACCTCCCCCTGCCCCGCTTTCCTGCTCCTTCCCTCACAAGCGGGGCAGCTTTGTTGGTGCGTCTGTTACTGCCCCCCGGGGCCGGGACCTGCTGCGGCCAGGTGTGCGTACGTACATGACTCCAGTGCCCTTATGCCCTGCCCTGAGTCTAGCAACACTTCCCTCCTCTTCCTCTGCCATCTCCCCTTCTAGACTGTAAGCCTCTTGGGGCAGGGATCTGGGGAATGGTACACTATAAAGCATATAAAAGGCCTCACTCTAGACCTGGTTTTCTCGACCGGATGGGAAGCTGGAGATCTGGGAGTGGAGGGGTTAATACGAACTGTCTCTGAGGTTCAGGCTTCCCCCTCTGCAAGGGAGGGCCACCCTGGGGAGGGGAGGGTTTCCAGAGGCCTCTGGGGGGCGTCTCTGGCTGGGATGCCTGGCCTTCCCTGGGAAGCTTGGCTCACCCTGTGGGATATGGAGCTGCCCTGGGCGGGAGGCATGGAGGGCCGGCAAGCCCCCTCCCCCTGCACGCAGCCCAGACGGCTCCCTGGCACACGCTGGAACTGGGGATGATGAAATGGGAGGGAGGCTGGCTGGAGCGCCGACGGAAAACTTGTGATGACTGACCAGGCCAGCTGGGCGCTCATGGCCGAGCCCACGCCGTGGGCGCTTCTGCCAGGATCACGTCATCTCCGTGCTGCCCAGCGGAGCTTCTCCGAGTGGTTCGTGGCCCCCTAGGACCTGGGCCTGGAGAGAAACGGTGGGGCCTCGGTGGCCGCCGGGAGGAATTCGCACGGCACTTCGAGGCCAGTCGCTTGGATGCGTGGCCAGTTGGACTCCGTGGTGGGGCAGCATTTGAGGGAGGCGACTCGAGAGCTGGCAAGGGTCAGAGCAGCAGGGCATGCAGGCCCAGACTCCCCTACGACAGAAGGGCCCCCTGGATCGGACCCCGTGGCTGGCGCAGCCCTTGGCGGAGGCGTCCAGAGCCCCCCGCCCCAAGGCCGCTGGGTGGGTGCGAGGATGCGGGCGAGGTGCTCGGATCAGTCCGGCCCGCTTCCACATGCGCGACCCTTGCGCGCCTTGGCGGGTCACACGAGGGGGTGCAGGAGGCTGTGGGTGCCCCGCCGGGAGAGGGAGTGGTCCAGCCTCGCCGAGAGGCCGCTCTGGACGGAGGCGAACCTGGAGCCGGAGGAGGTCAATCGCCGCCGGCCTGTGGCCAGCAGCCCCTCTCTGGGCAGGGGAGCAGCTGGGCAGCCCCGGCCCTCCTGGACGAACCGGACACCTGGGTCCCGTCAGCGGGGCCTCGGGCCTGGGCTGCCTCGGTCGCCCTGCGGCTGCGCCTCTGCCGGGTGGCCCGCCCGGCTCTCGATCCCTGGCCCGCGGCGGCATCCCCTGGACAGGCCGGCTGGGAGGGGGCCGGAGGCAGTGCGGTGCAGCGGTGCTGCTCCTGCTCGCCCGGCTGAGGCCAGAGGCGGTGCTGGGGGATCGTGGCCCTGCAGGCATGCGCTGGGGCCTGCAGGGCTTCCTCCTACCCCCATGCTGTTCCACCTCTGCTGAAACTGCTGGGAGAGGAATCGGAGGTGAGGGAGGAGATGTCGCCGCTGTGCTGATGGCACCCAGCCTGACCTCTCCTCTCCTTTTCCTTTCACTCAGGTGAGGCCGTGGATGCTCTGAACTGTGGCTCAGGCTTGGTCATGGCCTGGATGGGGGCCAATCAACTGCGGCTCAGTCCAGGCAAGGCAGAGAGCCTGTTGGTGGGGGCTCCTCCGTCCAGATGGGGACACCTTGCCTGCCCTGGACAGGACTGCTCTCCCCCCAAAGGTGAGGTTCGCAGCTTGGGGGTGCTCCTTGACCCTGAACTATCCCTGGAATTCCAGGTGGATTCGGTGCCTCGACGCACCTTTTGCCAGTAAAGGCCAATCGACCAGCGATGACCCTTTCTGGACAGGCAGAAACGGGCAAGGACTATTCACATTTTGGGGCCTCTCGCCTGGGTTGTGGCAGAGCCATCCATGTGGGGCTTCCTTTGAAGATGACTTCAGTTGGTCCAGAATGGGGCAGCGGGGCCACTGAGGGGGGCTGGCGGATCGTGCCAGTGCTCTCCCATCTGCACTGGTTGCCAGCTGAAATCTGAGTCCGCTTGCAAGCGTTAACCCCAGGATTTGAAGCCCTGAACAGCTCGGGGCCCGGGCATCGAAAGGAGCGCCTCTTCCTACGTGTGCCTGCCCGGCCTCTCCGGTCATCGTTGGGGGCCCTTCCGAAGGAGCCCCCCGTGGGAAATGTGGGGGGTGGCTATAAGGGGCCTTCTCAGGAGGGGCACCCCAACTCTGGAATCGGCTCCCCAGAAAGGTGCGCCCGGCACCCTCTTTGTATGATGCTGAGCACCAGGTAGAGAACTTTACATCCAGCAGATATTTAACTGTGAGGA